TTAGCCAGGCTGGTCTCGAACTCCTGACCTCAGGTGATCCGCCCTTTTAGGCCTCCCTAAGTGCTGGGATGACAGCCATTGAACCACTGTGCCTGGCCTAATGTGACACATATTTTGCTAACCATTGTGAATGCAATGTTGAGCAAAAATGGAAAGACCTCATGGCACATTGTACAATGGAAGACAGATATTAAATAATCACAGGAATAAGTTTAATATTCAAGTGTGATAAGTGCTGTAAAAGAGAGCTGTAAGAACTAATGAGAAAATTTGATCCAGATAGCAAGTAGTTCAGGGAGGCTTTCCATACTAACTGCATGACTTTGGGCAAGTTATTTACATGCTTTGCGCCTCATTTCCTCATTTTAAGTGAGGATAGCAACTATACTTTAAGGTTGTCATATATGTTTAATATGAATATTAAATGAGTACGTTTGTGAAGTGCTTAAGATACTGCTTAGCATAGAGTAAGCTCTGGATAAGGGTTTGTTAAATAAAAAGGTACTTGATGTAAAACCTGAATAATGAGTAAGAGAGTTGATTTTTTTTTTTATAATTTCAACTTTTATTTTAGATATGCAGGTTTATTACATGGGTATATTAAGTATGTATATACAGTTGCTCCCTTCTCTCCCTTCTCTCCCTCCCCTCCTCTAGTAGTCCTCAGTGACTACTGTTGCCATCTATATGTCTTTGAGTACCTGATGTTTAGCTCTCACTTAAAATGAGAATATGCAGTATTTGGTTTTCTGTTACTGTGTTAATTCACTTAAGATAATGGCCACCAGCAGCATCCTCGTTGCTGCAAAGGACATGATTTTATTCTTTTTATGGCTGTGTAATGTTCAATTATGTATATGTTCCATATTTTCTTTCTTTCTTTTTTTTCCTTTGGTTAAGACAGTCTTGTTCTGTTGCCCAGGCTGGAGTGCAGTGCCACAGTCTTGGCTCACTGCAAACTCCGCCTTCTGGGTTCAAGCAATTCTCCTGCCTCAACCTCCTGAGTAGCTGGGATTACAAGCACCCACCATCACGCCCAACTAAGTTTTGTAGTTTTTTTGGTAGAGACAGGGTTTCACCATGTTGGCCAGGTAGGTCTTGAACTTATGACCTCAGGTAATCCGCCAACTCACTCGCCTCGGCCTCCCAGAGTGCTGGGATTACAGGCATAAGCCATTGCGCCCAGCCTGTACCATATTTGCTTTAGTCCACTGTCGATGAGCACCTAGGTTGATTTTGTGTTCTTGCTATTGTGAGTAGTGCTGCAGTGAACATATAAGCGCTTATGTCTTTTATGTAGAACAATTTATTTTCTTTTGGGTATTTACCCAGTAATGGCATTGCTGGGTCAAATGGTGTTTCTGTTTTAAGTTCTTTGAGAAATCTCTGAACTGCTTTCCACAGGCGCGGAACTAATTTACATTCTCACTGACAGTGTATAAGCATTGTATAACCTAGCTAGCATCTATTGTTTTTTGGCTTTTTAATAATAGCCATTCTGAGTGGTGTCCCATTGTGGTTTTGATTTGCGTTTCTCTAATGATTACTGACGTTGAGCATTTTTTTTTTATTTTTTATTTTTTATTTATTTTTTTTTTGAGACGGAGTTTCGCTCTTGTTGCCCAGGCTGGAGTGCAATGGCGCGATCTCGGCTCACCGCAACCTCCGCCTCCTGGGCTCAGGCAATTCTCCTGCCTCAGCCTCCTAAGTTGCTGGGATTACAGGCACGCACCACCATGCCCAGCTAGTTTTTTTTTGGTATTTTTAGTAGAGACTGGGTTTCACCATGTTGACCAGGATGGTCTCGATCTCTCGACCTCGTGATCCACCCGCCTCGGCCTCCCAAAGTGCTGGGATTACAGGCTTGAGCCACCGCGCCCGGCCGAGCATTTTTTTTATATGCTTGTTGGCCAGTTGTATATCTTACTTTGAGAAGTATCTGTTCATGTCCTTGCCTACTTTTTAATGATATTTGTTTTCTGCTTGTTGAACTGTTTGTTTCTTATAGATTGTAGATATTAGACCTTTGTTAGATGCTAGATTAACAAAGAGAGAGAAGATCAAAGTAACACACAATCAGAAACAACAAAGGTGACATTACAACTAATCCCACAGAAATACAAAAGATCCCCAGAAGCTATAATGAAGACACCTCTGTAAACACAAACTAGAAAATCTAGAGGAAATGGATAAATTCTGGAAACAAACAACCTTCTGAGATTAAATCAAGACAAAATTGAAATCCCAAACAGACCAATATTGAGTTCCAAAATCGAATCAGTAATAAAAAACCTATCAACCAGAAAAGCCCTGCACCAGATCTATTCGTAGCTGAATTCTGTCAGATGTACAAAGAAAACTGGTATGAATTCTGCTGAAACGATTCCAAAAAATCAAACAGGAGGGACTCCTCCTTAACTCGTTCTTGGAGGCCAGCTTCACCCTGATACCAAAACTTGGCAGAGATACAATGAAAAAGGAAAACTACATGTCAATGTCCCTGATGAACATAGATATAAAAATCTTCAACAAAATATTAAGAAAGCGAGTTGGATGAAGAGGAGAGGATATGATCCAGGCAGAGGAAGCAACAAAGGCCTTGGGGCAGGAGTCTGGAAAGAGCTTCCTAGGCCTGAGAGATTGAAAGGAGATTAATGAGACTAGAGTACTTCAAGAAGTATATACTATAAAAGGAAGCTCAGGAACTAGCAGGGGCTGGGCTGCATAGGGCTTTTTCTGCTGTGTTGAAGAGTTTGTCTCCTAAGGGTGATAGAAAATGATGAAAAGATACTAATACATGGAATGGAGCCAGATTATAATCAAACTTACTTTTTGAAAAAAACAACTGCCGACTGCACTGTCACCAGTCAGATTTGAGGGAAGCAAGATAACTGCACGTAGATAATTTAGGAATTTATTATGGTGAACATGGCCTTATCCCTGGCAGTTTTCATAGTTTCATTTTGTTTCGTTTTGTTTTTTGAGACGGAGTCTCATTCTGTTGCCCAGGCTGGAACACAGTGGCACAATCTCTGCTCAGTGCAACCTCTGCCTCTCGGGTTCAAGTGATTCTCATGCCTCAGCCTCACTAGTAGCTGGGGTTACAGGTGGTGGCTACCACACCTGCCTAATCTTTGTATTTTTGATAGAGATGGAGTTTCACAGTTGGCCAGGCTGGTCTTGAGCTCTTGACTTGAAGTGATCCACCCACCTCAGCCTCCTAAGGTACTGGAACTACAGATATGTGCCACCACACCCAGCTTATCTCTGATTTTTGTAATTTTGCAAGAATATATTTACAAGCTACTATGTATCTATTACAATGTTTTGAAATGGTTATATTTTTTGGCAATTAAAATGGAAAAGGTGACTTTGCATTTTTTAAAAATATGTAAAATGTCAGCTGCTATGTTAGGATCTGAATAGCCTTTTGTGCCCAAGCCTGGGAGTTGGAATTAGAACCTAAAAAATATTTAACACTGGTGTTCATATTTTCTTCTGTTATATTTCCTTTATGCAACTATAGACATTTGAACATTTTACAGTAGTGCTGTCCAATAAAAACATTAGTGCTGCAAATGCAAACCACATAGGTAATTTTTAATTTTTTAGTAGCCACATTAAAAGGGTGAAAAGAAAGTGGTGAGATTCATTTTAAATATATTTAACCCAGTAGGTCAAAAGTATTTCAACATGGAATCAATATAAAATTTCTAGTCAAATATTTGACATCCTTTTTAAATATTAAGTCTTAGAAATCTGGTAGGTATTTTATACTTAGAGCACATTCCAGTTTGGACCAGCCATGTTTCAGTGGCTCAACAGCCATATGTAGCTGCTGGCTGCTGCATCAGACAGTACATTTCCATAGGTTTCTGGGTTAATAAGTGGAATAGTTTTTTTTTTTTTTTAAGTTACCCAATTTATAGAAATAGCATCCCATGCAGGCCTGAGGATGGTTTATTTGGAGCAGAGTTGTATGTTCATGTTATAAAGAATGATCTGCAGGTTACGTGTCTGAAAGGTATTGTGAAATTAATTTTTTTAACAGAAATAGTGAATTTCCAGTTATCACTTACGGTTTTTGAGGGACTTTTAGGGATAAAATGGAAGAGAGATACTGGAATTTGCTTGAAGTCTTAACATATAGAAAGGTTTAATGATTTTCGAGAGATTTCTCAGTGCTGTGTAGCCTCTGGCTAATGTTCACTGAAATGTTATCACATGTATTAAGCCCTTCTATTCTGTAAAGAAATAAAAACAAAGTATCTGTGTTCTTCACAAAATCTTAGCATACATGCTTTGATAGATCAAAATTAAATAATTCTTAAGCCATCTTGGCTCACTGCAAACTCTGCCTCCCAGGTTCAAGCGATTCTCTGGCCTCAGCCTCCTGAGTAGCTGGGACTACAGGTTTGTGCTACCATGCCCAGCTAATTTTTGTATTGTTAATAGAGAAGGGAGTTTCACTATGTTGGCCAAGCTGGTCTTGAACTCCTGACCTTGTGATCCACCCGCCTCAGCCTCCCAAAGTGCTGGGATTACAGGCGTGAGCCACTGTGCCTGGTCTGTAGTGTTTATTTTTTAAATTAGGGTCTACTTACACCTGCTAAAATATTTAAAAGGAGCATTTTGTCTTTCAAACCTTGTACTTAAGCCATCTTGTTCCCCACCCTGTGGGCAACTTACTTGGAAATCTCTCCTGAGACAGTCTATACATATACAAGCAAAAATGTAAATATACTTTACATTTTTCAACTTAAAAATTGGAGATCTACTTGGAGGAATCCTTCATTCTGTTTTACAGCTGTATAATGAGAATAAAATTATTACATCACCCCAAAATACTTAATAAAGGTAGCTATTATTACAGTGAATACACTTAATTTTTTTTAGCACATAGATCGTAACTTTCCTTTTGTGATGTTAAACTAGATGATTTTCATTGTATGTTCGAAAAATGTTAAAACTACTTTTTCCCTTTCCCCCCTCCCCCACAGATAATCAGACAGCTAAATGGAGTCTGAGCAGCTGTTCCATAGAGGCTACTATAGAAACAGCTACAACAGTATAACAAGTGCAAGTAGTGATGAGGAACTTTTAGATGGAGCAGGTGTTATTATGGACTTTCAAACATCTGAAGATGACAATTTATTAGATGGCGACACTGCTGTTGGTAAGTTCAGCACGACAACCTAATGTCTGTATTCATGAATATCCACTAATAAACATATACACTATTTTATTGAGGTTGAATTTTTCAGTAACTTAAAATTTTGGGAGGTAAAATTTACATAGCATGAATTTAACCATTGTAAAGTGTATAATTGAGTGGCATTTAGCACATTCACAGTGTTGTACAACTATCATTTCTATCTAGTTCCAAACATTCCCATCACCCCAAAGAAAACTACATTTAAATGGGTTAGCTTTTAAATATAATGTAATACAGAGACGTGTACAATTATCAAATCATAGTGTGGAAATTGATGAATTTCTACAAAGTGAACATTATTATATAACTATTCTTTAATCAGGAAATAAAACATTACCAGTAGTTACAGAATTTTTTCTTGTTTCACCTTCACTTTCAATATTATTTTGATTTCTATCTGGATTAGTTTTGCAAGTATTTAAATTTTATATATAAGGAATTCATACTGTATACTCTTTTATGTCTGGCTTTTACGTTTTGAAATCGTCTATATTGTTGTGTGTAGCAATAGTTAACTTATTTTCATAGTTGGTATAGGATCCCATTGTGTAAACAGACTTCAATTTATTTTTTCTATGTCGAAATTATTTGTTGTTGTTTTCAGATTTTTGGCTGTCGCTAACAGTGCCACTATGAATTTTCATGTGTGTGTGTTTTAGTGCACATTTAGTGCACATTATATCACAAAATGGAATGCTTAGATCGTAGAGTATGTGTGTCTCAGCATTATCAGATACTGTCAATGATACTTCCTTTTCTTTTTTCTTTTTTTTTTTTGAGATGGAGTCTGGCTCTGTTGCCCAGGCTGGAGTGCAATGGCACAATCTCAGCTCACTGCAACCTCCATCTCCTGGGTTCAAGTGATTCTTCTGCTTCAGCCTCCTGAGCAGCTGGGGTTACAGGCACCTGCCATCATGCTTGGCCATCATGGTTTCACTATGTTGGCCTGGCTGGTCTCGAACTCCTGACCTCAGGTGATCAACCCACCTGAGCCTCTCAAAGTGCTGGGATTACAGGCATGAGCCACTGTACCCAGCTGCCTTTTTTTTTTTTTTGGTCAATTACCCTATACAAAGATATTTTGAAAGTGGATATAGCATTTACATTTCTACTAGCAATGTGTGAGATTTCTAGTTACTCCACATCTTCACCAATACATGGTATCAGTTTAAAAAAAATTGGCTATTCTACCGTAGGTTGCAGTAGTCTCTCATTTTGGTTTAATTTATATTTACTTGATGATTTATGAGTTTAAAAAGTTTAAATGCCTTTTTATGTGTTTATTGGCTTTTCAGACTGCTTCTTTTAAAGCACCTTTTCAGTCCTTTTCCCTGTTTTTTAGGCATTCATTATGCATTCTGATTATGAATCCTTTCTCATATACACGTACAGTATTGCAGTGATCTCTCATTCTGTGGTATGTCTTTTTACTCTCTTAAAGGAATCTTGTGGTGAAGATATCATCTATTCTAACGAAATCCAGCTACTCTTTTTTTTTTAATTCTAAGCCTGTCTCAGTCTCTCATGCCTGCAATCCCAGCACTTTGGAAGGCTGGGGCCGGAGGATTGCTTGAGGCCTGGAGTTTGAGACCAGCCTGGTCACCAAAGCAAGACTCTGTCTCTACAATAAAAATGCAAAAGAAAAAAAAATTAGTTCAGTGGCATGTGCCTGTAGTCCTAGCTGTTGGGGCTGAAGCTGGAGGATGGCTTGAGCCCAGCAGTTTGAGACAGTGGTGAGTCATGATTGCACCACTGCACTCCTGCTAGGCACCAGAGCAAAACCCGTCTCAAAAAACAGACAGCACCACCGCCAACAACAAAAAACCTTTTTCTTTACCTTTATTCTTAGTGTTTCTTTGTGTTCTGTTTAACAAGTCTTGCCATACCTCAAGGTCACAAAGATATTCTGCTGTTTTATTCTAGAAGTTTTATTTTTGTGTCATTCACAGATTTATTATCTACTTGCAGTTAATGTTTTTAATGTGATGTGGGTTAAGAGTTCAGATTCATCTTTTCCCACATGAATAACTGCACCATTTATTGGAAAATACTTTCCTTTTTCCAGTGTGCTACAGTGACGTCTTTGTTATATATCAAGTGGCCATATTTTTGTAGGTCTGTTTCTGGACTTCCTACTGTGTTACATTGAAGTATTTGTTTTATCCAAATGCCAATGCCCAGCATATATATGAGTTTGGATTTATTATTTTGATTTTTAAATTTGTCTTTGTTTTTTATTGATTTATAGTCTGTTTGCATTTAAGATAATCACCAATAAGTTTGTTTTCAGACCATCCTCTATTTGCTTTCTGTTTGTCATATCTGGTTTTTCCTCTTTATTTCTGCTCCCTTCAACACCTTTTTATACATTCTCCTATTTTTTGTTCATTAGACTACCCTAGAGATTATTACATGTATCCTTGATTTATTGGTTCTAGGCATTAGTACTTTTGCCACTTCATGGAAAATGCAGGGACTTCAGAATACTTTACCTCTTTTTATCCCTCTCTGCTTCCTCACCATTTTCTCACCAGGAAATGGCTCAAGAATACAAGCGATTAAGACTGTTGGGTTTTACCTTTCTTTATTTCACTTCTTTTCAGAACTTTGACACTTCAAGGTCTAGCTCCTTTGGATATTTACTGGTTTAAAATACAGTATTTTGCTGTTACTAGTCATTTGCTGTCTTCATCACAGATTTTTTTTCTAATTTTAATGACAAAATTATAAACAAAAAACACATATATTCATCATTGGAAACATCAGGTAAAATTTATAGCATATCCATTTTTTTTTCTGTGTTTAAATAGCTCTTTAGCCCTTTATGTGAGCTAGAAATTTTTTTTTTTTTTGAGACAGAGTTTCGCTCTTGTTACCCAGGCTGGAGTGCAATGGCGCGATCTCGGCTCACCGCAACCTCCGCCTCCTGGGTTCAGGCAATTCTCCTGCCTCAGCCTCCTGAGTAGCTGGGATTACAGGCATGCGCCACCATGCCCAGCTAATTTTTTGTATTTTTAGTAGAGACGGGGTTTCACCATGCTGACCAGGATGGTCTCGATCTCTTGACCTCGTGATCCACCCACCTCAGCCTCCCAAAGTGCTGGGATTACAGGCTTGAGCCACCGCGCCCGGCCTATGAGCTAGAAAATTAACTCCAGGAAGTAGAAAGACGTGGGAGGAGCTGACTCCTTCCCTCTTTCCATACTGCTGTCAAGTGCTGGTGATATCTTTACTCCTGGTCTTCAGTAGGAGAGAGTGCCAAGCAGTAAGGATGGGACAAAGGCACAAAAAGGGTCTACTTGTGTTGATCTTTTATCAGGGAGGATAATTTTCTAGAAGCTTCTCAGTAGACTTCCTTTTGTGTCACTGGCCATAACTGGGTCACATGCCCACCCTAAGACTGATAACTGGCAAAGGGGAATGAGATTATTGATTGGTTAGGACAATTATGATTCCTTCTCAGAAATTAGGCATATTAATATGCAAACAAGAGGAAGGTCCAATTAGCAAGTATAAAGTTGGAATGATATAGGGTAGGCAACCATTGGTGTTTTCTTTTCTTTTTTGGAGACAGAGTCACACTCTTGCCTAGTCTGAAGTGTGGTGGCACGATCGTGGCTAACTGCAGCCTTTACTTCCTGGGCTGAAGTGATACTTGTGCCTTAGCCTTCTGAGTAGCTAGAACTACGGTTGCATACCACCAGACCCAGCTAATTTTTTAAATATTTTGTTGCAATGGGGTCTCACTATGTTGCCCTGGCTGGTTTTGAACTTCAGGCTCAAACGATCCTCTTGGCCTCCCAAAGTGCTGGGATTGCAGGCTTGAGCCACCGTGTCCAGTCTATTGGTAGTTGATTTAAAGATTCTGTCCTCAAAGTTAGTGTAGTTGAAGGTATATTATGGTATATTGTGATATACCTTGTATATATACGAGGTATATTGTGGAGTAACAGTCAAAAATAACTGTGAGTTTTCAGTTGGGTGGTACAGAGTCCAAATGTTACATCTCACGAAAAAATGATGTCATTTTGGTAATCTTTTAGAATTGCAAAGGCTATTGTAAAGGGGAAATGATACATGAAGATCCAGCACTGGGATTAATATTATATAGGTGAAATAGCAAATGTCCTTTGTTAAGACAGTGAATATTCTTTCTTTCAACATAGCTGATGTGCCTCTGTTAGCAGCAGTAGGAAGGGAAATGTCCTAGAAGAAGTTGGAGCCTCAGATTAGACCTCCCTCTATAGGTTAAGGCAGACATCAGAGGAAAAAGCTTATTTCTGTTTCTGCTCAGTATCTGGGAGTATGGAAGTGGTTAGTAAGTCAAGCAGTAATTCTTCATGAATCTGTATCTTTTTAGCATACCAAAAAATAGCAATCACCGGAAGGTACTGATAGTGTTTTGAATATGTGTTGAAGGAAAATCTATGATGTTCAGTGGCTTTCGATTGGTAACCTGAATTTACATCCTGGTTCTGTCAGTTACTTGCTCTGCAACTTTTGGCAAGTCACATAGCCTCTTTATGCCTCAGCTTATTCCTTTGTACAACATAGTAATAAATTCTTAAATAATAATTTTTTTAAATGATTGCTCTGAGAATTAAGTACATGTAGAGATCTTAACAGATAAATAATGCATAGAATCCTTAGCAATGTGACTGGCTGATGGTAAGGACTCATTAAATAGTAGCTGCTTCTGTTTTCTTCTGTGTTACTTCCCCTTTGGATATGTTAGACTCTGTACTCCCAACATAAGCAGTTTCCTTTTATGTTTGTATTCAGTGAGATGTCAGTAATGTTAATGAAAAGCTGTAGCTCTAGAACTCAAATATGACATCTGAATTAGGATTTAGCTTGTCAGAGATAAACTGCTTTGGAATCTACTGACTTTAGTAGATACGTATTGCACAGCTCTTGCTTTGAAAGTAGCTACATGCACTTAATAATCTCAAGAATGTAAT